GGTCTTTTCCAACCTTAATGATTCTACGAAAATGGTCGTAGTTCCCTGGTACATTGGCTGTCTCTAAACAGGTTTACATCCTCAGACAGTTTACAGCTAGACTGCTCCACTCACCAAAACACGTAGCAGCCTATAGAAAAAGAAAACAAGGTAATGTGTTTTCTCAAACCCAAGATGAGGGTAGGGCTTATGTCTTGGTTCTTTACAGAACTATGTTCTCCTCAACTGTACATCACTGCCCACCCAGTAGTGTTGTTTTCCTGAGCTGAGTTTTGCGGACAAAGTTCCGTGTGTTCTGCCTTCCCAGTACTTACATCTGATAGCAGCCTATCCAGATTGGAGTCACTGGCTAGTTTTCTTTTATCTTCAGGGAGTTCTTCCAGCTCCCCGTAGAGCTCCAGATTGAGGCGAGCAAGTTTCTCCTGCATACTCCGCACATGCTCCATCTGCTCTATGGAACATTCATTTCCTAAAAGGACGAGCAACAGCTTTAGTTAAAGAAACCTGAGAGAGCAAATGAAGGTGCGAAGATGCAGCTTTTTACATCCGAGAAGAGGAATTTAAACATTAAATTTACAAGTTAATTTGCTTTCTCAGTGATTTCTCCCTGTTTCACTACTGAAGTTTCTGTTATCCTGTCTGGTGTTATGTTGTGCTGAACTTACGATAACTACCAAATGTACTAACTGATTTTTAGAAGATAAGTGTTTTTTCTATATTCCTGAATTTCTCTCCAGTTTAGGAAGGCCCTGGTTTTTAACTTTAAATATGATCACAATAAACCTTCTTTCTGATTTTGATTAATCTTGGGAGTTTGTTTCTTGTAACTGATGCTTTATACAATACAGACTTTTCAGGTTCTTTTGTAAAATCGGTGTGGAATTAACGTGACATGCTGACCTAACACTAAACTTGCAAAAGCACATATGCATCTTTCTACTCAGTACAGGGAAAAAAAGGAAGCAGAAGAGTGTCATGGTTTTTCTGAAACCTCCATCAACAGTGAGGTAGTAAGAATAAAGATGCTAAGACAGAAGAGTAAGCTGGGTAAAATGCAAATTGCATAGGATTCCATAAAAGTTGTTACCAATAGTCTAAAGTATTAATATGCAGAAAAATGAGGTGCTAAATACAGTTACTTCTTATTATTCCTATACTATCATATATAAGTGGCTTTAAACTTGGTATCTTAAATCCATGGCCTTTGGTAAGCCATGCTGGAAGGAACAATGAAACGGCATTTGAATAATCTCATACCAAAGACAATCTTACAATAGGACTATAATTTTAAAAAGCAGTAAGATCTATTAATTACGTAAAACTTCATTTCATATAGCAGAGTCCAATAGGACAAACTGGCAGTCTGTCCATGCAGCACACTTGTTTGCAAATGTTACCATCATATAGCTATAAAAACAACTACTGTATACAGACAATTCATACACTTACCAAATGCTTGAAGTTTGCCAGAGTGGAAGTCATTCAGGAGACTCAGAAGTCCCCTTTCCATTTCCTGGACATCTGATACATCTGTGAGAAAAGAATGCTGGATTGGTGCTGCTTGTGCCCCTTTTGCTTCACCTCCTGGAGGTTTGGCTTTCTCTTTTATTACACTGGGAAAAAAAAAAATTAAAGAAAACAAAAAGATTACTTCCTGCTTTCACTTTCACAGAGAATCTGAAATGTAAGATAAGTGTACATCTAGGCTTTGAAAATGAAATGGAAAATATATAATACATATTTCAATCACTCCTTTTAAGTTAAAAAATGGATCACCAGTTTGTCTTAATAAAGAACATCATCACTATCTTGACAGCTTGATACTGCAAAATGAAGGATTCCAACAATCTGCTTTCCTATTAATAGTGGGAAACATCAGTGGAGCATGTGTATGTAATGGCGCATGGGACGTTATCTACATAAAATCACCCAAAAAGCATCTGCAAACTTTTTAGGCCAGAGAGAAAAACCCTCAGCAATCATATGCTCCTGTTGTCGCAAACACCTATAGACTGCAACCAGTGTGGAAAACAACTCGTTATAACCTATACAGGAAGGTGACTTTGCCTCCACATAAATTTTCCTAGAGCTCCTTCTTCCCACCTTCAAATAACATCGCAACCGTAAAAAACGGTGTAAAACACCATCAAAAACAATCTCCCAGTCCTCTAACACATATCAAATGGAACTAGTCCATGCCTGAACAAATGTTAAACGTGCTAAAAATTCTCTACAGCCCGTTCTGCAACAAAACCATGAAAATTCCTGGATCCATACATTTTTCTCTAGACACAAAATTTATTCAGAGCACCATGTGCCCATAGAAACTACACGAATGAAAATTAATAACCATTATAAATCCAAACGAACATACAATCAGTATGGAAGCTAAACACTCAGTGTTTAGCTACTTCAGTAAGAAGTAGCGTATTCCACCTCTGACCCACAGACAGACAGACTGCATCCTAACCTAATACAATTCAGGTAAGGGGCTGTTTTCATCCCTGATTTGCCCATCCATGTGTGCCCACAGCCTTCCTCTCCCATTGGCATGGCTGCTTCTGCAGCCTCATGGTGAGTCTCTTCAGAATCTGATTCAGTGAAAAATTTTGAGCCTAAAAATTAAAATTTGGAATATTATGGGATATTAAAAAAATCACAGGCTTAGTAAAGAGACTCTATTTAATTAGTGAAGATAATAGGGTTAACAGCATAGTAAACTCCATCCTTCCCTTGAATACTCCCATGCTCTGCAAGTCACAAATTCTCTCTTTCCTGTAGGAAAGAATCCTCCTTTTTCCAGCCTAACAGCTTCTGTAGTCTATAAGCATCATATAGACTACATAGTTTATATGCTGGAACAACTAACAGTCCAACAATTATCATATCTGGTTCAACAACAACATGTCTCAATTTAGGTTCAACTTTGGCTATTTCTGCTTCAGTTTCAGACTTCAAGAAAGGTTTGTATGCCAGAAAGGTCATTGATTTTTTCCACCTGTATCTGAAGTTTAATACAATATATTGCTGCTCCTGGAAAACTTATTTCATTAGATTCTTGTAGGTGAAGTGAAAATGAATTAAATACTCCTACTCCACTATTGTAACAGCAATTCATCCTCACATTGTTATGTCAATTACCACTCCCGCTTGGAAAGTTCGAGAAATTGTCTGTATTATCACTGCTTGGTAAGCTTCGCTTAACAATTGAACAAGAATGTCCTTTTCCAAAACTTAAAGCAAAAAGGACATTTTCTTCTCTAGCCAATATTATGAGCTACAAGAAATTAATTTCTAGTACATTCCAGAATGGTGTTGAGTCTTAATAAACTGTACAGTCAGCTGCCAGGCACCACCAATTTATAGCACATTAGTATTTATTATTATTTCCCTCAAAATATTAACACATTTTCCCTGAAAAAAAAAATGTATAGACTTTACATTGCAGAAATGCATTATGTTTCCATGAGGCTAATACTGGGTCCTTTAAACAGACTATCTGTGCTAAAGAGGACAGTTCAGTATTTAATCTTCAGCTAACACTTACAGATCAATAAACTCTGCTGCCTCTCTCTAGCTAACATTTCACTTTAAAATACCTCTTCACTCATTTATCTACTGTATCTGCCACGGCCACGAAAGGTATTTTCTAACATGCAGGAAAATTAACATTCTCAAACTGGAGCAGCTGCATCATCAATAACACACAAACTATTCCAAAATGGTACTTTCTGAAGAGCTGAATGCCTCCCTCTGCGCATGAGTAGGGCCTGGGAGCTACCGCTGCCCCCACTGATGGGTCCCCAAACAAAAAATACACGGAAATTCCAGTTCTAGCTCATCCTGTTCAATTTACGTCCTTCATTTCCTGCCTTACTTGTGAGTTCCAACCTTGCAGTCATGTAATATTTTATTTGTTCCTCACAGCTGTACATCTGGGGCTCTGCTATCTCCTATAAAATGCCAACAGTTGCCATATTTGATCACCCAACTCCTGTCTTTCACCAGGCACATCAGGCCATCATCTGTTCAGCTAAATTGTTATCAGCGTGAGTCTACAGCATTGCGTAACATTTTACAAAGCTTACAAGAGTAGTATCAAGCACCTTCTTTTTCTGTAAAATAACCATTATATTGCATTAAACACAAATCCCTTTGCTAAAACAGACACATAATCAAAAATTTTCACGAGTCTGAAGCTCTTTCTTTTCATTCTGTCCCTGCCAGTCTAAACACCCCTTAGACTGAGCATTGGCAAGCTTCTGGCTCTCACTTCCACTGAGCTTGCAAGGTGCTCCCAAGCTTACCGTTTTAACTTTGGTTTCTGTGCTGCAGGCTGTGGTGCAGGATTTGAAAAGGCTGTACTTTTACTGACTGGCACTGAGTTTTTCTTGGAGTTAGTAACCTGAGCAGGGTGACTGGTAGATGATTTGGGGCTCCTCCTCTTGATTTTCCTTTCTTCCATTTCTCCCAATTTACTGCATCTAGACTAATTTCTTGTCCTCCAAAGGGAAGAAAAAAAAGTAAGAAACATCCATTTTTTACAACAAAAGCAAGGGAAAAAGGTCACAGTGGATGGAAATACAGCTTTATAGTTTCTTCAAAGATGCGCAGTTACTCATTTCTTCAAACAAGAGAATCCAGTTTTCAGGAGAAGCTGCCCAGGCCTGCCTGATCAGAAAAACAAGCAGGAATTAAACTCTTCTGCGTCAGCATCAGTCAACAGGTGCCTCAAAATGATCTCAAGCTTTGCGTCCCATAGATTATTGCTAGAAAACACTGGAACTACTCAAGTCTACGCCAATCAAAATTCTGAGAAACGATGGTGGCATGAGGATGCTGTGATTCATCCTTGCCAACCAACCTCCTCTAAAGGGAGAGGCCTTGTCAAAACTCAGTTGATGCTGAGCTATTATTGCTATTATATATGCTATATTGATGGGTGCTACCTAATAAGGTCCTCGCCTGGGTAAACGCCTCCTCTGAACTCCATCGTCCCAGGAGGCGGCAGAGGGTTCTGTAGGCACAGCGATGTAGACCCCAGGACGCCATCGCTGACCCACT